ATATATATATATAAAATAAATAAATATTCCAGAACCTTTAACCTGGGAAATTTCCAGGTTTCCTCTCTCATTGTTCAATGGCCCTTGTTAAATGGGATTGGTTAACTGCGGCAAATTATTTGTTTTGGTCTGCCCAGCAGTCTTTCATTTGGTGACTCTGTGTGACTACGGTGGAGGTGTCAGTCATAGTACATGGTCATCACTCTGACTACAGACACCTGCAACCCAGATCTGCTGGTTATGATGCCTCAGGCCTCAGGCTACAGTGTTGACCATGGAAGGAGCATGACTCAACCCAAACAATTCAGAAGCCTTCTGTGGGATGGAGATGATATACAAATATATTTTCAGAGGTAGCTAAAAAAAAAAAAAAGCCTCTTTCCTCAGGGGACATTAAAGTGGATAGTATCAGCCTGGAACCACTGGTGCCTGTACCCCCCTGGGGCATGGAGGAAACCTGTCTGCAACAGCAGATAAATAGGTCACTGAACCCTGAAATAAAAGCCCTGTTGACATTTGAGTTCCTCCAGTGCCTGTCGTCAGTTTTGCCCCATATGTCAGTTTTGCCCCTGTATGTCCAATTACAAGAAACGATTTCAATTAGAGTTGGACTTGTCTTTTGCAAAGGGATATATGGTAATCAAAAGCAAGAATGTCAATGAGCCAAAGACAAGCCCGTTTGCTTGACTGCTCCCCATCCATACCGGACCGCATTCCTCACCCTGGTCTTTCCTTCTCCTCAGCTTATGCTGATGAAAGCATCTACATCGATGGTGGCACCCAAGTCCTGAATCTTTGTTTTCACCATACGTTTCACATCATCAGCCTCTGAGTTTGCCCCTTGCCTGCTAAACTCTGATGAACTCAAGGGCAGCACCTGGCAAAGTACCTGACACATGATCACAGGGATGGATGGTTGCATGGACAAAGACTGCTGATCCCACCCAGTGTTTCCAACAAGGGAAGAAATCTTTTTACTGTAGGGCTAAATGGGGTACGTCTAGCTATTAGTCAATATTAGAGAAGTTCAATTCAATTTCCCCAGTGTCCAAGGTCATCAGTGAAAGAGAAAGCTCTAAGTAGAGCTTTACCTTCCCTGCCCCCACCCTTAAAGAGAAACTGTTTAATCAGCTGGCTCCAGATGGGACAACTAAACGAAAGTGCTACAAATTCAGAGGTCTTCACAAGTTCATGTTACTGTAAATAAAATTTGCACTGATTTTTTTAGAGACAGGGTCTTGCTCTGTTGCCCAGGCTGCAGTACAGTGACATGACCATAGTTCACTGCAACCTCAAACTCCTGGGGTCAAGTGATTATCCTGCCTCAGCCTCCAGAGTAGCTAGAACTACAGGTGCACATGACCATGCCTGGCTTTTTTATTTTGTAGAGACGGGTAAAAGGTGTCTCCATGTTACCCAAGCTGGTCTCAAATTCCTGGGCTCAAGCGTTTCTCCCACCTCGGCCTCCCAAAGTGTTATGATTACAGAAATAAGCCACCACACCTGGCCCTGGTGCTCACTTTTAAGCAACCCTGCCAACAATAGAGCCTTCTCCAGGAGTATGCTAGAAAGATATTAGTTCAGTATCGTTTTGTAGGACAGAGGAAGCTAACTCAAACCACATTGCCACTCCCTTTGACACGAGGTTATCCAATCAGTTAGAAGTCTTATTCACTTTGCCAAGCCAAACTCTGTTTCACAGAACCTCCTATATGAAAAAATAAAAATAAAAAAAGAGAAGGAAAACACAGATAACATGATGTTGTGATCTTTATTCCATTAAATGATCTTACAAATTGGAGTAAAATAGGAACATGCTTTTAATATACTAATAGCATAATCTCAGACCATCGCGCTTTTTAAAAACTATATTAAATTGTAAAGCCACTCAAAGGCAAGGGTCTAGCAGAAAGTACTTTTAACAATCATTTTTTAAAAGAAAAAAGAAACCTGAGGAAATTTTGTGTATGTACAAGATTAGTATTAACTCCTTTAAGGCTTACATCCATGACAGCATGTACCCAATTAGAAAGCTTTGGAAATCAATGCTACCTTCCCTTGCTCAAAAAAACACTACATTTAAACCTGAGTTCTGGCATATGAAATTCTTTCCCAAAGAAAAATGTCTTTCAAAACCTTTCTGTCCTAGATCTGTTTTGCAAAGTTTCTGATATGGGGTAGTTAGGTCACTAATAACAGAAGTTATGATCTTGTCTTCCTTCTTGTTCATTATTTTTATTTGTGGCTTAATGTTTCCTGTATGTGAAAGATTTGTGGATTCAAGTCACAGTGCTGAATTTTACTTTTTAAAAGAAAAACTTTAAAAATCCTAATTACATCTGTTAGAAAATAGGATACTTGTACATTCATTTTTCAGAGAAGGCACTAATACAACGGAGAAAAACAGCTGTAAGGAGCTTAGATAACCCTCTGAATTAGAGGCATCCTTACTACTTCTGAACACAGAAAACGCCTGGTGATTGTACCTGGCCAGAGACCACCTATTCTAAACCTCAGGTAAAAGGTGTCCACTTGCCTCCAGACAATACAGAATTGTACCTTCTCCTTGGTACTTCATTCAATGAAGCAGCCTCTCTCTGTGGCCTCTGAATCACTGTTTATAAAAGTGATGATTCCAAAGCCACAGCCCATACCAACTGAGGCAATCTCTAGGGTACAAAACTGGGAATCTGAACTTTTTAAACAAGCCTGCTAGTAAGTCTTATGCACTCCAAGGTAGATGAGAACCACTACCCAAAACATAGCTACAACAGGACTTACAACATAAGAAAAACAATTCAACTGCAAACGTTCTTTTGCAATGGGCTTAATGTCATTTTTAAAAATTAATCACACAAATAGTTTGTGTTTTCATAACTGAAGCTTGTCTTCATTATGCCATTATCCCTTGACTAGAATTTTGTTAGATCAAAAATGTGTCAGACAGAATGACGCAGCCAGGTTGGCACCTTGAGATGGAACATCAAATCATCCTAAATTACATTTCAATAGTTCCAGGGAAGAAAAAAGTTTTATGAAGACTCCCATATAAGTGACATCATTTTTTAAAAAGAACCTAGGAAAAAATAAAACTATTTGTTTTATTGCTTTTGCCTGGACTTCGTGATTCAACCTACTTTGCTATAACTCATACATACACACTTATCTAAACTCACCCTAACCAAGGCACCATTTTTATAAGCCAAGTAGAACACTGTGTGTGATCCACTAGTGAAACTGATCACCAGTACAAGGCAGTATTTTTGTTTGTGTCTGTTTGACCAAAGCACTTTATTTCATGCAAGAGAAAAAATAAAGCAAAACAAGCCCAGGTGCAGTGGCTCACGCCTGTAATCCCAACACTTTGGAAGGCTGAGGCAGGCAGATTACCAAAGTAGTTGAGACCAGTCTGGTCAACATGGTGAAACCCCATCTCGACTAAAAATAATACAAAAATAAATGGGGTGTGGTGGCACATGCCTGTAATCCCAACTACCTGGAAAACTGAGTCAGAAAAATCGCTTGTACCCAGGAGGCAGAGGTTGTAGTGGGCCAAGATCACGCCACTGCACTTCAGCCTCGGCGACAGAGCGAGAGTCCGTCTCAAAAAAAAAAAAAAAAAGAAGAGAAACAATATTCACAGGCAATTTTACCAAATATAAAAGAGGTGTTAAAACATAAACCTCCGTAGAACATTTCTTGGTATACTATGAATATAAGGCATGGCTCAGCCGGGTGGGTTGGCTCACGCCTGCAATTCCAGCATTTTGGGAGGCTAAGTTGGGTGGATCACCTGAGGTCAGGAGTTTGAGACCAGCCTGGCCAACATGGCAAAACCCCGTCTCTACTAAAAATACAAAAATTAGTTGGGCATGGTGGTATGCACCTGTAGTCCCAGCTACTAAGGAAGCTGAGGCAGGAGAATGGCTTGAACCCAGGAGACAGAGGTTACAGTGAGCCAAGATTGCACCACTGCACTCCAACCTGGGTGACAGAACAAGACCTCTGTCTCAAAAAATAAAATAAAATAAATAAGGCATGACTCTGAAGGTGTTTTCTCATCATACATAGTAGTTTGTCTCATTTCATCTACAAGCCAATCTTACAGAAAGATTTCCCAGTGAAAGAATGAAAACTGATTCTATTATTTTTACTACAAGCAGCTCATTGAAATTATTTTTTCAAATTGTCAACACTTAATTTCTCCTGAAATATTTTAATGGAAAATTTCAGAAGCCTTTTTTGATATATTCATAGGAATTAGTTCCATATGTTCTTAGGAATATGCAAAATTTAAAATGCCTGCATGGAAAGTGGCAGAGCAACAAACACCACACAAGCACGCACAGTCTGGGCTTCTGAACCACAAACAGTGAGAGAAGCGTAAGACATTATTCTTAACCTGGTTATAAATCTCCCCAGGATTTATAGCCAGCAATGATAATGCATCTTTTATTGAAAAAGTTGATATAAAATCATCAATTTACTGCTGTGACAAAAGAGCCCAAAGAAAACTCTGAAGAGCCCTCACTGAGAAAACTTTACACTTTCCAGAAGCAGAACTGAGGGGGAAAAAAAGGTGAGGGGGACTTCCTCTGGATAATTAAACCAAGATGCCTTTATAAGACCAAAACAGAAATGGTGAATTTAAATAGTAACTGAATCTTAGGACTTCATTAAATCATACATTATCTTTTTTTAAAGTGACCTAATACTTTAGTACTAGAATGAGTTTCTGACACATCACCCCTTCTCATCATTAAAAGTAGGACCACTTTGGACAATTATTCTGAAATCTACAAATTTACTTATAGAATGTATTAAATGCTAAGTATCTCAATATTTATAGAGCCTGCTAATAGGTATGAACTTTCAAAGAAATAAGAGGTCACCTGAAACCTGAAAATGCACCAACATTTCAGAAGCAAGCTTTCAAGTTAACAGTCAAAGCTTGGCATCACTGATGAATGCAAGTAAACAAGCAGAAATTTTTCTAACGTGTAACAGCAAGTGAATAAAACAGCAAGAACTTCAGGGAAAGATGGCATATAAACATGAATATAATATACTGGGAACTTAGGACTTATGAAAACACTTGAGTGGTAAAGTGTCAAAAGAAAATTCTTTGATAAACAGATTACATGCTAAAAGGGGTTTTCTTTTTTTCTACCTTTCGTTCACACTTCATGTATATAAAATTTACACTCAGATCCTACCTTCAGGTACATAATTACCTTCATGTATATAAAATTTACTCTTACTTCTCTCCCATAACGAAAGCTAAATTAGCTCAGAAATTAAGGCTTATATACCTCAATGTTTATATAAATACTTGCAGGCAAGTTTTAAGAAGTTTTAAAATCCACAATAATTCCAAAAGGAAAAGCAACTAACAGATAAAACTTTTTATCTCCTAATTAAGGTAAATAGAAAAAAAAACTCTTATTAGATACTTCTAGAAATTGTTTATATTTGGGTAGGATTTTGGTCCTTACTAAGCCAAAGCTATCTTAAAGCTACCAGACTAGCCAAAGTAAAATTAAATAGAAGATGATTCACTAAATAAAATGGGTTAATTTTAGCTTCATTATTAAGAATATTGAATGCAAATTAACATTCTGAACGAAGACCTTAAATCAGGTTATTTATTAATTGCTAAGCCACATGAAATCAGACATCAATTAAAGGCAGTAATATTTGGTAATATCTTCCCTCTAATCCATAATAAAATTCCATTCTTATGCAGAACTCTCAAAAACAAAACCTCTCAAATGACAATTACAAGAGTTGTGTACAACACACATACATATGTAAACCTGACCAAGGCACAAGTTCAAGTGACTTATCAGAGGTCACGCAGTTCATTTAAACTTAGCTTTTTTCTTAAAGTATCTAACTCATTCCTTTTATGAGCCACTCTGGCTTTTCAAGGCACGTTTGTCTCTTTTTCTAGAAAGAAGCTACAGGGACCCCCCAAAAAAAACACAGAGCAAGTTACAACAAAAATGTCAGCCTACTGGGTAAAAAACTCACATTTCAAGAGTATGGTATATTTAAATATGATATGATTTTTCCACACTATATGGCAACATGATTCCCTATTGTAATTTTTTTTTAAGAGTAATGATATTATAGTTAGTCTTTAGTTCTGATGTTTCTCCAAGTTTTGAAAACTTTTAAAAAAGGAATCCTTCTGGGCCGGGCACAGTAGCTCACGCCTGTAAGCCCAGAACTTTGGGAGGCCAAGGTGGGCAGATCACAAGGTCAAGAGATCTAGACCATCCTGGCCAACGTGGTGAAACCCCGTCTCTACCAAAAATACAAAAAAAATTAACTGAGTGTGGTGGCGCACACCTGCAGTCCCAGCTACTCGGGAGGCTGAGGCGGGAGAATCACTTGGACCCAGGAGGTGGAGGTTGCAGTGAGCCAAGATCATGCCACTGCACTCCAGCCTGGCAACAGGTCAAGACTCTGCCTCAAAAAAAAAAAAAGGAATCCTTCTCAAAAGAGTAAACTATAAAAGAAATGACAAGTTTCACCCCAAAATGCCATCTATGGCATCTTTCATGAGGTTATCCTCCATCCCCTCCCCATTGTGTCTGCCAAACCATGGAATCAATCTTAAAAGGCACTAAGTGGCACATAAAGAACTTAAGAGCTTCATTTCTATTTTTCCTATAGCTTCCTCCCCCATAAAGTGCACAAAGCAGAGTATTATGAAAATAGACACAGGCTTGCATCTATAACAGCAAGGAAAAGAAATGCTTCCAACAGAAATGGAAGGGCATTTAATAATTTGAAACCACAGGAGAGGTCTGCTCATTTATTACAGTGCCATGTTTTAGCTCTTCCTGGATGGTCTCAGATTTGCCATTCCTCTGGATATGAACCTGTGGCCGTGGGAGGAACCCAGAAATCAGAAGGGGCTGGTTGTGTCCTTGTTTGAACTTCATGTTAAGACGCTATTGAGACTTTTTATCCACAGGTGGTCTTCCAACAACTGCATCCCTCACGGCAGCCTGAGTGGAATTACCAATATGAGAAGACGCCTGCAAAAGTCCATTTATTCAATATATAAGTTAATAAAATACAACACAGCAACAAGAAAGTAAGTTCTTAGAGATAAACTTTCAAAAACCTATCTCCATCATCAGCATGTTACAGAAAGCAGTGGAATGAAAATGCAGGGATACAGACAGGGAGGCTGTGGCAGCAGCTAACGCCCAAGAGAGTAAGGGGAACCTGTGCTCTGTGACTGGGGTAGGATAGGCAGCTCCTGTGGCTTCACAAGCTACTAACCTAACTCATCTGCTCATGTTACTCAGAAAACAAATGTATCATCTCAAAGACCTTGGACATGGACATTAACCATGTCCATGTCCAAGAGCTACTGGGTTAGTTGGGGGTAGTGGCACTCGCCTGTAACACCAGCTGCTTGGGAGGCTGAGGCAGGAGGATCACTTGAGCCCAGGAGTTTTAAGTTACAGTGAGCTAAGATACCAGCTTGGGTGACAGGGCAAGAACTCGTCTCTAAAAAAACATTTTATAGGCTGGGCGCAGTGGCTCACACCTATAATCCCAGCACTGTGGGAGGCCGAGGCAGGTGGATCACCTGAGGTCAGGAGTTCAAGACCAGCTTGGTCAACATGGTGAAACTCTGTCTCTACTAAATATACAAAAATTAGCTGGGCGTGGTGGTGGGCACCTGTAATCCCAGCTACTCGGGAGGCTGAGTAGAATCACTTGAACCCAGGAGGGGGAGGCTGCAGTGAGCTGAGATCGTGCCACTGCACTCCAGCCTGGGCAACAAAGACAGACTTTGTCTCAAAAACAAAAAACAAACAAAACAAATATTAATATCCAAAAAGAATAATAAAACATAAAGTCTATCAGGAAAAAATGGCCTAGGGAGTAGCCATTACTCATGTCTTCACCATGAAATTCTTCTAAACGAGGTATTTTACAACACAAGCACAAATATCTGCCCATTATCAACCCTCAGGCTCTCCAGCAGCACCACTTACCTGCTCCAACACATATGCAGCACCAAAATCAATAGCTCCGCCCAGCTCACGATATTGACCAGAATACCTAATGTAGCCCCAGGTGAGGAGCGCTATTAACAGCAGTCCAACCATACAGTTGAACAGCTGGGCTACAACCCCAAGACCTATGAAGCCAGTGAGGCCTGAGGCTATATACAAAGCCACAATGCCCGTGAACAGCACTGCAGGGGTTCGGAAGGTGCTGAAGACGTTCTTGCTACCATTGTGCTTGCAGAAATTCTCATATAATTCCTTGATTTCCTCCTCCAGCTCCTGCTGGTAACGAAAGCTGAAATCCTTCCCACCCATCTTCTTGGTCTTCTTAAAATGGTCCAGAGCAAGTTGTTTGAATTCACAGTGCTTCTCCTCTAGAATATCTGGAGATAAATAAGGTTTCTCTCCCCCACAAACCTAAAGAGAACAAAGACACAATATGTTAAAAGATCTCTTCAAAAACAAGTACCAAATAAAACATGAAAAGATAATAAAAGTGATAGAATGTTTTAAGATGTTAACAAGATATTAATAAATTAACTTTTAAAAGATGTCTAAGACCAATAAAAACTAGTTTCACTTACTCTGAAAAGCACACTTAAATAACCGGGATGATAATATTAATTGGAAAGAGCAGTGACACTGGGACGGGCACAGTGGCTCAAGTCTGTAATCCCAGCAAATTTGGGAGGCAAGGGCAGGTGGATCACTTGAGGTCAGGAGTTCAAAATCAGCCTGGCCAACATGGTGAAACTCTGTCTCTACTAAAAATATAAAAAAATTAGCTGGCTATGGTGGCAAGCACCTGTAATCCCAGCTATTCAGGAGGCTGAGGCAGGAGAAAATTGCTTGAACCTGGGAGGTGGAGGTTGCAGTCAGCCGAGATTGCACCACAGCACTCCAACCTGGGTGACAGGGTGAGACTCCGCCTCAAAAAAACAAAAACAAAACTAAACAAAAAAAGAAATGGTAATAATTAGATGGCCCCCATTACCAGGACAACCTCGGTATAGCTTTGTTGCCTCATCACTTGAAGACACTTGAAGTAGGATCAAGTTGGGCTTTTGAAGTCAGCAACAAAGCCCAGGTTATAGACATTTCAGAATAAAGCATATGCCCTACATACCTCTTCCATGTTGTTATAATAAACGTCCTTGGCAGAGGCTGCAGCTGCTAGGTTGTTGGCTTCAGCAGTGGCCTTTTAAGAGAGGAAAATGTGAAATATAAATCCTTCCTCTTTTAACATTCTTCCACAAATAATCTAATACAAAACTCTTCTCCACTCCCCATTATTCCTTTTTTATTAACCTTCTATTATTTTAGATTTCCATACAGTTCAACTGATGAAATAAAATACACCTTTTCTGGCCGGGTACGGTGTTCCACACCTGTAATCGCAGCACTTTGGGAGGCCAAGGCGGGCAGATCACTTGAGGTCAGGAATTTGAGACCAGCCTGGCCAACATGGTGAAACCCCATATCTACTAAAAATACAAAACTTAGCCAGGTATGGTGGCACACGCCTATAATCCCAGCTACTTGGGAGGCTGAGGCACATGAATTGCCTCAACCTAGGAGGCGAAGGTTACAGTGAGTCAAGATCGTGTCACTGCACCCCAGCCTGGGCAAAAGAGTGAGACTCTGTCTCAAAAAAAAAAAAAAAAAAAAAAAATACACTTTTTCTGCCAAATTTTCTGCCAAAAAAAATATGGTAGAAGTTCATATACATAAAAATATGTATTCTTACACATAAGAATCTTTAGCAAAAATTAAATCTCCAAAATTCAAGGAAAATATTATTTCCTTTGCTTCAATTGTGTTTTTTAATTTTATTTATTTTTTTGAGACAGAGTCTCATTCTGTCATCCAGGCTGGAGTGCACTGGTGATCTCAGCCCACTGCAACCTTCCCCTCCTGAGTGCAAGCCATTCTCCTACCAGTATGTGCCACACTTGGCTAACTTTTTAAGTTTTTGTTTTGTAGAGACAGAGTCTCCCTTTATTGCCCAAGCTGGTCTTGAACTCCCAGCCTCAAGTAATCCGCCCACCTCGGCCTCTGAAAGTGTTGGGATTACGGGCATAAATCACTGCACCTGGCTCCACTGCTTCAACTTTAAGAAACAGATGTGAGTCAAAAAAAGAAGGAAGAAGAAAAAGCTGGGTGTGGAGTCTCATGCCTGTAATCTCAGCAATTTGAGAGGCTGAAGCGAGAGGATCACTTGAGCCGAGGAATTCAATACCAGCCTGCTCAACACAGCTAGATCCTGTCTCTATTAAAAAAAAAAAAAAAAAAAAGGAAAAAATTATTTGCAATGTCAATCCCAGGCTCTAGCTCCCTTTATGAAAATGTTCTGCTACAAAAGAAATCAACATTTGGCAATAAATGCCCTTATGTTCAGCGTATGAAGTCAAAAATTATATGTTTTAACCGAATGACATTCTAGTTACAAATTAAAAACCTGGGAAGTGAATAGTAAATAGATATGTCAGGACATGTTCCACTGAAGTAGACAACAGGTCGGGCACAGCGGCTCACACCTGTAATCCTAGCACTTTGGGAGGCTGAGGTGGGCAGATCACTTGAGCCAAGTTTGAGACCAGCCTGGGCAACATAGCAAGACCACATCTCTACTTTTTTTTAATTAAAAAAATTATAGCGAGGCACGGTAGCTCACACCTATAATCCCAGCACTCTGGCAGGCCAAGATGGTAGATTGCTTGAGCCCAGGAGTTTGAGACCAGCCTGGGCAACATGGCTAAACTTGTCTCTACTAAAAATACAAAAATTAGGCAGGCATGATGGAGCACACCTATAATCCCAGCTACTCTGGAGGCTGAGGCCCTAGAATTGCTTGAACCCGGGAGGTGAAGGTTGCAGTGAGCCGAGATCATGCCACTGCACTCCAGGAAGAGTGAGGCTCTGTCTTAAAAAATAAATTATAAACATTTATAATTTAATATTCATAAATAAAATATAATTTAATAAAAACCTGATAAGTGAATAGTAAATAGATATGTCAGGACATGTTCCACTAAAGTAGGCAACAGGTCGGGCACAGTGGCTCACACCTGTAATCCTAGCACTTTGTGAGGCTGAGGTGGGCAGATCACTTGAGCCAAGTTTGAGACCAGCCTGGGCAACATAGCAAGACCACATCTCTACTTTTTTTGTTTTTGTTTTT